TGTACTTACATTTGTCTGGAAATCAGCAGGTAAGAGGGTTTCATCTTGGATGAAATAAGACTGGAAGGTTGAGAGCCTATCAGGATGACCTCGCATGCCATGCTGTCATTTGCCTTTCTCTAATAGAGCGGCACCATGGAAGGTTTTCAGAGTATAGTAAGTAACAGAGTCAAGGCAGAGGCTCATGAATATTCACTGGGCAATGGTCAGCAAAAGAGACTGGAAGAGTGTTGAGACAATTCTGATAACCTTTGTGAGAGGTCAGCAGAACCTAAGTTACAATGAATTTAAGTGGTGGGTCTGAGGGTCATTTCAATGAACTTTCTAAACTTCAAACTAAGAAAATAACTTAAACAAAAGATCGTCCAAGCAATTTAAATGCCTAACGTCTAGAAATAGGAAGTTAATAATGGGTTGTCTTAAATCATGATTGGAATCATTGATTATCAGAACTAGAAGGAAACTTATAAATCATCTAGTCCCACCTCATTTTATAGGTACATAAGCAGGCCCAAAGAGTTAAAGTAATTTCTCAAAAGTTGCAAAGAAATCCTGGAGTGAATGCCTAGAGAAGATACTATAATTCAAGTTTCTTCAATCCTAGGCTGTCTGGGAAAGCATACGGTTTTAATTGTTACCGCCCCCCACCCCCAAAAAAATATTCTTTGAATCATTCTTCTTTATTCTTTTCTTATACATCCAAAGACCCCATTTCAGTCTTACTGGCTGGTGGCTGTTCTTCCATTGTACTTTAAAACATGGTCCTTTCTATTTGCTTTTAACCACTCCCTTAGCTACAATGAATACATTTATGTAAAAGGGGATCCAGATCTAAGCCTCTAGTCATGACCTTTCTCCTCACACCAAGCCAACATTGGACGTCTCCACTGGGGTTGCACAATAAAAAGTATTCTTTTCCTCAGCTACCTCTTTTAAGTTCCTCAGTTGGCTTAACAGATCCTCTAGTCAACTTGGGTTAGAAAACTTATAGCCACCTTTAATTCTGTCCTCTCTTATTCATGACTCCAAATACCTCCTGAAGATGCGACTTCCTTTCCACTTCACAGGATAGCCATAGCCAAGGGCTTCATTACTCTCCCCCTGGACTATGGTGCTTATATTCTAATTGGGGTCCCTGCCAGTCATCTCTTCTCAACCCATCCATTTTTCACAAAGCTCTTCAATTACCTTCTTTAAATACATATTTGAATCTTGTCATTATTCAAGCCCTCTTGACTTCTTACTTGAACTAACAGCCTCCTAACTGAGAAGCTGGTACACTTTTTCTGTAAAGGGACAGATAGTAGGTATTTTAGGCTTTGAGGACCATATTCAACCCAAGTGTGGTAGAGAAATACATAATAAATGAAGGATAATGGTGGCGTTTTCTAATAAAATTTTACTTATGGATGTATAATCTTCATGTGTCAAAAAATATTGTTTTCCCTTTTTTTCATCCACTTAAAAATATAAAAACCATCCTTGGTTAATGGTCACACAAAAACAGACGATAAGTCAGACTTGGCCCACTGGCTGCAATTGCTGACCTTGGGCTAACTGGTCTTTCTGTCTCCTAGATCAACTCTCAAAGCTCACTTTCCACACTGTTCTCTGAGTCAAGCTCCCAACCCAGAAATTCAATCACGTTGACACCCCTGCTTAAAATGCATCAAGAGCAACTGAGAATGGGCGAAACTCCGGAGATGGCCCCTAAGGCTCTTCTGCTGGTCCCTGCTTCCCCTTTCTAGTCTTATCTCCTACCAATCACCTAATCTGATAGTAGAGTTATGTTTTCTCCCATCTTTATGTCCCTGTATTTATTGGTCTCTCTACCTGGGGTCCCCAACCCACCTTTTTCCACTTTCAGAATTCTTACTCATGAACTCACTAATCAAGATTGCTGCCAAATATCTCCACCTCCCTGACTATCCCTTTCTCACTGTCAGCTTTCCCTGATATCAGCTTTCCTTGACTATTGCCTTCACCTCTGGTGCAGACTGGGCCAGACCTCCTCCCTATGTGCTCCTGTGGTAATCATCACTTTTATCATTGCACTGTGGTCACACTCCATTATATTTGAATATACAGATGTGGCTTCTTTACTAGAGTATGAGCAATCTAAGGGTAGAAACTGAGTTTTATTTTTTCTCTCTATGCCTAGGACCAAGCAAAGTATAGTAGGTGCTCAATAAATATTTGTTGACTAAGTGAATGTTACACTCACCCATTTGGGTCCTTTAATTAATGCTAAATTTCTATTTTCCTTTTTTTTTTTTTTTTTTTTGAGACAAGGTCTTACTGTGTCACCTAAGTTGGAGTGGAGCAGTGCAATCATAGCTCACAGCAGCCTTGAACCTCAGGGCTCAAGTGATCCTCCATCCTCAGCCTCCTAAATAGCTGGGTCTATAGGTGCACCACCATGCCTGCCTAATATTTTTTGTTTTTTGTAGAGATGGGGTCTCCTTGTGTTGCTCAGGATGATCTCGAACTCTTAGCCTCAAGTGATTCCCCTGTCTTGGCTTCCCAAAGTGTTAGAATTACAGGTGTGAGCACTGCGCTTGGCCTCCATTTACTGTTTTAAAATCCAATAAGGAGAAACACCAAAAAAGTGGTAGGCTATTTTTCTTTTAGGTTGATGTACAGATTTCTACTACACTTTTTGAATTTTCTTTGCCTCTAAAGATTTGGATCCTTATTTCATCATTACTTTAAACATGGTTTTCATATTCAATTTTAAACTTTGTTTAGAATATGCCATTTGAAGTGTTTAAGTTGAGACTGTGTGGTAAGGTGTTATCTGTGTGGGAGTTATGTATTTCAGCTGATCTACACTGAAAAAGAACGACACAACATTTCTCAGTCACACACCTGAGTACACTGAATCAATAAAGCATGGTGAGGGGTGGCAAACTTAAAAAACAAAAAACAAAAAACAAAAAGACAAAAAAGTGCTATATATCAGAAATAGCCCAACAACCAAGTCACATTGCCAGTGCAAAGGGGAGATATACACAGTTCCTTGCATTTCTAATTGTCATCTTTAAATTTATGAATGTGGATTTTATAAAACATGAACACAGACTCAGCATAAAATGCTTACAAAAGAGTACCGTACTTAGAAAATAATTTTTATTTCCTGTAAAACTACGCTTAAATTTTTGTAGAATTGGTTTAAATAAAGCTCAACAAAAAAAAAAGCTTTCTATGGAACCAAGCAAAACCGTTTTTCTTAAGAACAAAGGAATTAGTTACCACTCGTCCATTTTCAGCAGTTGTTGCATCTTAATATGCTCTACTTGCAAGAAATTGATCTTGTCAAACACTACAAATTGATACTACACGGGAAAACTCTCTATGGACTCTGACTTCAGAAATTAACTCTCTGAATAAGACAGAATGGCAAAAGGGGCAAAACCAGCATTAATATTTATTTACTGAAGCTCAGCCACACTGAGACGTTAAAAGCCGTCCTAGTTCTGAGGTTTAGCAGTGCTTAGCACACAAATGGTTGGTTCTGAATAGAAGTCTGACAGAAGAGAAAAACTATTAACATTACCATGATGAAGCTCAATTCTGAAGCTTGTAAGATTAAATAACCACAGGAATTATGCTAACATTAGGTTCTCAGTTCTACAATGACAATACTTTAAATGAGCATTAAAAGAACAGCTATTATTCTGCAATATTAAGCAATTTTTTTCTCATATGTTTCATTTATTAGGATTTTTTTCTAGATACCATACGTGTATAAATAATGTATTTTCTTTCTTTGCTTTCTCTTTCTTTCCTCTTTCTTTTATTGTTTAAAAGGGAAGATGTAAAATCATTTGGAATATTATCATAACAAAATGTTTCATACAAGGTTTGATTTTAACAGAACCAGAGGCATCTTAACACTCACCCAAAACTTTGGGAGGTTCACCAACCTCTAGAATATTTTTTTCTCCAAATGCAGGCTGTTCAAGTGGTGCTTTTCTCCATCTGTTAGCATACCGTGCTCAGAATTACATTGTCATATTTAATGTAAAAGGGATCAGTCCCCTTTCATAGTTTAAATTCAACATATTACTATGATTGGAAGACCAGTGTTTTTCTAATTTATAAACCAAACCAAATATCATAAACTTACATGTTTATTTAAACAAAGTTCTCTCTAAAAACTGAAAAACTCTAAGAACTGAGCAACCCCAAAGGCTTGATGTGAACACTGAAAAATAGTAATAAAACTCAAAGTGAAAAGAAACCACATATGATAAAGTGAAATATCTACTCTCTCTGTTTGAATTTTTCTTTCTATGTGTGTATTTGTGTGTGTGTGTGTGTGTATGTTTTTCCAATGCAGCAAATTCACAATGCTTACAACCTAAAGAGTCTTAATGTAATTTAGGGCCGAGCTACATATTTACTAAAGTTGATGACAATGATGATCACATCACAAAATCTCATGATGGAAACAAAGTAATCTGAAACCTCAATGGTGTAAGCCCGGTTATAATGATTTGAACATGAGCAGTGCCAATCTATTTCATCTCGAAATTTTACACCTCCTTAGGATGCAGATTCCTTATTTCGTATCAGTTCCATTTCAATTTGCATCTTACAATTTATTTACTTTGTCTCTCTCACCGAGAGTATTTATTATTTTCCTAAATAAATTCCTCACATCCTTCAGTTCAAGATTTTTATTAGACGTAGAATTAGCAGAAGAGGTAGTAGTGGTGGTAGGAGAAATATGTCATTTTGCTTATATTGATAGAGAATCACCTAAATATTTGAGCATTGTAGATGAAAGGTTTTGTAATCTATCAGTAATTCCCTGCCACACTTATCATTCACATGTCTGGGTGTTTTGCTTACCACATCTCCACTTTTCTTAATATGCCTGAAAGCTATGTGTGAATTGAATGACTAAGACTAACTCTAACAACTGTTTGGAAGCCTGTGGCAAAAATCAGTGGAATGAAATCGGTGCTATGGCGCATAATGGGATTAGGGAGTACCTGGTGAGGTGCAGTTGGTGCTCGGATTCGCCCAGCAGTTCTGTTAGTCTCAGGCACTCCTCCCTGGCCCGGGCTGCCTTCTGCTGCTCCTGTTCCAAGTGTTGTTTGCGTTCACCCAGTTCTAGTCTCAATTTCTCTATTTCCTTAGGTAGAGAGAAGGGGAAAAGCATCCATATAAAATACATGCACTTGAATTCAAAATTAGCTCATTTTTAGTTTTTTGCCATGAATTTCAATGTGATAAAAAATTATTAGAAAATTTAGGCTAGCTTCCATTTTAAGACAAAAGGAATTAGCACATCCAAAAATGCACATGAGTAAGATTTTATTTTGGATTGTAAAATGAAGTCTAATTTTAAAACTGAAACGATTAAATGAGAGCAGTCAAATTGGATAATTGCACTTTCACTCTAAGAGTTATTCCCTTTAAAAAGTAATATTTACTTAAAATGTGACTACCTTTAAAATGTAACATTTTTGTGTGAGATTCAATCAGACACATGCAGTGATTTACATCAAGTATGTACTTTTTATTCTAAAATATAAATTTATGGCTCCATTTGGGTGTTTTGAAACCCAAATTAAAGGTAAAATAAATAATTTAAGAGATTTTTAGAAAATTGTGAGGTGTAAAAAATGGCATGATTATGATGTTCAATATTACTTGGAAAAAATAATCCAGGAAAAAAAACAGCATGAGAAATTTAAGCATTGAGAGTGTATGAGATTTCTGAGCTAAAATAATATTTCCATTTAAATTTGTAATTTTAAAAGTCAACAAGAACACTCTAAGACTAATAAATATGAAAATATATGAAGGTTTATTTTTTGGTTTCAGGGTGAAATTATCCTTATCTTACTGAAACTCAAACATTTCAAAGCAAAAATACCTTATATAGGCCATAATTTTAAATAATTTATATATTAAAGTAGAAATATTTATTTATCAATAGAACATCTGTAAAATTAAGTCAAAGAAAATAAAAGATGAACCTTTAAAAATATTTAGGCTATTAAAACAAGAAAAAAAAAAAAAGAAAGGGCAGAAATATTTTCAAATTCAGCAGAAAGCAAGAAACAAATTTGATACAGAAAAAATGCAACCTCCTTTTGGAAAACAACATTATGTGTAAGTAGAGGGACTTAAACTTAGTATTTAAATAAACTTTCAAATTTTCTCATGTCCTTATTCAATATCCTGAACAACCTCCAACTGCATTTAATACACCATGTAGGATAAATTAAATAATCCATTTACACTTTTTCTTGTATTCATAACAGTATAAATATTCAGCTTATCTCCATCAAAACCATACATTAACCAACAATATAATAACTTAGTACAGTTCTCAAATATGGGTTTATTTGAAAAACTATGAAATAATTATATCATTTTCATTCAGTGTAGATTTTCTGTATCTTTCAATTGAAATACTAAGTTAAACTGACTTGTTTCTTTAAAATATTGTGTTATTAAAGTTAAACCCATATATTCCCAATTTCATAAATATAATTAAAGAGATAAAAATAAAGAGTATTAAATGTGTATTGTTTAACCTTTATAAAATTAACAAAAGCAAAGAACTATAGAATTGGAAAGATATGTTAACTTTAAAACTTCAAAAATTAATTCATTAATTTTCTTACACAGTCCTATATGCAAGAAACTATACTAAATAATATGATGAATTCAGAGTTCCCATCTCTAAATTCAGTAGCTAATAATTCATCTGGGTAAATGAGACATATATACACAAGAAGACTATCAAAATGCAAAGCATATAAAAACACCAACTGAGTTATAGAGAAAATTCATGCCTCAGTAGCCAGATGAGGGATACATTAGCACGGACAAGAAAAATGAGAAAGAAGTGAGGGCACAAAAGCTGTGGAGTGATACTTTCGATCACATGAAAGCTCTTTAATTGTAGATTAATAACATTCCCTTTTTCTTATAGATCATAGGGTGACATTAATGGTTTAAACAGGTATGCAATATGACAGAGGCTGAGCTTGAGAAAACTGGATCAATGTGTACAATCAATTTACGGTGGCAAAGAATGGCAGAAGGAAGACCATGAAAAGATAATTGCAGTATTCCAGACATGAGGAGTGGAGGGACTTAAAACAGAAATACAAAGAGAATATGGTGATTTTATGGAAGTAAAAGGAGCGGAATCGGAAGACCAAAGATGACTCCAGAATTTTGAATTGAGAGAAGACAAAAGAATGACAGAAACAGAAAATGTATAAAATTCCAAACTTTTTTTTAAAAAGAAAAGATACAATTTTTGTAAGCACTATGCAACAATAACAACGTATGTACCTTACACTGGTAATTAGATTTTAAGTATAAATTAGCTGCTTTCTTTTTCTCATGGAATAAAAAGTCAAGGGTTGCATTGCAGGACCGTCCAAACACAGAGGTAAAGAACATGGGTCTAACAGCCAACACAGATCAGGGCTCCAGACACAGCTCTGGCACTTTTCTGTGACCTTGGACAAGTCATTAGACTATTATATAGTTTCTTCCTTCCAAAATCGGAGTGATAACAAGCTCCTAAAGCTGTTGTGAAGATTAAATTAGGCTGGGAATTCTTAGCAGAGTGCCTAGCACACAGTAAAAGCTGAATAAAAGACAGCGAATATCATTATTACTGATTTTTCCCTTTGTCTTTCAAGAACAGAAAAGTGGTAAGAAAAAATGACCCACCTAAGAATATATGACTATCTCTAAAGAGTTCTCAATTCATAAAACTTCCCCCTTCTCAATAAAGTGGTATTTTGGTGAAAACTGAATAAAACTTCATCTATTGTAATTTCAAAGTGTAAAATGCATTTTTGTTAGGAAGATGGAAAATTACTGCCTGCTTCTGATTATCCATGCCAGCGAAAGAGCTTATTGGTGCAGATAATCAAAATCAACAAATAATCTAACCAGCTGGACCAGGGCTCAACACTTACTCCCTGAGTCAGGAAAATCTGCCATGGCACCAAGTCCAACCGTTAGAAGAGAAATCTCTTGCCAGAAATGCCATGCTCCCACTGGCAGGATAACCCTTTGCCTCACCCAACTAGGTCAGAGCTGCTTCCCTGGCTGTATATAGTAGCTTGGGGATGAAAGACCAACCATAGCCATAGGCCAATCGTACATTACTCTCAAAGCACACTAGTAACCTGCATGTCTACAGTGCAGTTTGATGTGGCCATCTTTTGGCTAACTGGGCAAAGGCAGGTCCAGCTAGCTTTACGCCTTATCAAAAGATATCTTTCAAGTCATGACTATAACCACCAGAACAACTCAAAGTAGAAACTATTAAAAGTGATCACTGCTAGAAAACAGTACTGGGGATCGAATGTGGAAAAGCGGAGACTTGATGCTGTTCATTTATATCCCTCCACACTGTACGAAGTTTTTTTCTTAATCATGGGCATATGTAAGTTTATTTTTATTGTTGATTAAATTTGCCCATCAAAGTAATGCACCTAATTTAAGTCACGTAGTACTAAATGGCTCATAACAAGGAACAGCAGTGCCCATGACCTACCTTCCCTATTTCAAACCTAATCTCCAATGGCACACACCATTAGCTCTTCTGATGTTTATCTTCATATTTTTAAAAGACAAACTTATATTGCTATTTCTTAAGTTTTCAATATTAGACCTTTCTTATGGGAAGAAGGGTGACAATTTAGGTCTCGTACCACCCACCCTACATACCCACCTCATGCTCCCATATAATGATTTTGGTTAAAGCATTAGTCAGTAGTTCATTTACATTATAATGATTATGAAAAATTTGCTCACTACTGAGAAAAGCATTCTCTTGTTTAATTAACTTTCTTACATATCATTTTATTATTTCTAGAATTAATTTTAAAAAATTGCCTAGTTTTTTAATAGTTTGTTTTTCTAGATAACTGACATTTTCCCCCAAATATTCAAACATATCTGTTAAACAACCATCAACAGTATTTTTTTCAAATAACCAAACATATTAGATAAAGCATAAGTTCTTTTAAAAAAAATTTTCTGGATATATCCCTCTTGGCACCTTATGTATGGCCTGGTTGATCTCTATCTTGTGTCAAGCCTTCTCCATACTCTTTCAGAGTTCTTTGTTTTCTGGGTCATAAGTCATCATGTTTCTCAATTTATTCCCATTTTTGGTATGAAAGCTATCTCCAGGTAGCTTTCATAAGAAAAAGTACACGAAAAACACATTTTTGAGTATTCACATGCCAGAAAATGGTATTACTGTATGCATACACTTGATTGTTTGGCTGGGTATAAAACTCTATTTTGAAATTAGTTTTCATTCAGGATTTTTAATAACTATTTCACTGTCTTCTAGATCCTAATAGTACAACTGAAAAACCCTGTACCATTCTGATTCTTAGTACCTGGTCTATGATTTATATTTTTTTCTTTCTGGAAACTTTTACAGTCATCTCTTTTTCCTTGTCATTTTGAAATTTTGCAATGCTGAATCCTGGAATGGAGCTGTTTTACATTCTTTGTGCAGAGTTTTCAGTGAGTCCTTTCCAATCTGAAGGCTTATTTTTTTTCACTTTGAGAATGTTTTCTTCTACTATTTTAAAATATTTTGATGCCATACACTTTAGCTCCAGGACATTAGTTGTTGGATTGATTATCTCATTTTCTTATATTTTTCCATCTCTGTCTTCTGATTGTAACTTCTGAAAGATTTCTTTGACTGATGACACCTCATTTTGAATGTTAAGAAAATTTTCTACTCCTTTTGTATTTCTATGAGCTATTTCTTTTTATTGACACTTTTTGACATAGCATGCTAATTTTAATCTATGAATATAATATCTTACCTATTAGAATATACAGTATTTCAATGTTTTCCTTTGCTCATTATATGTTGCCTCAGTTTCCTCCAGGTTCCTTTCTTGTTTATCTGATTTGGACTCTCCATTATGGTGTAGGTTTTCCTCAAATACAGGGTAATACTTGGCTATCCTTTTATATTTAAGAATGAGGCAGTTAATAAACGTGTGGGTTTAATAGTTTGGGGGTAATATGATAGTTTATTTAGACTGTTGTTCAGCAAATATTCACTCCCATCTCTCTTCCACTGAGAGTGGAATACATTACGTCTCCCCAGGGACTCTG